GGGTCGTAGTTTCCGCTGAAGAAGCGCAGTCCAAAGGGGTAGACCCGGGCAAGGTGCCTGCCTGTGTAGGCTCGGTAATGGGCCAGCTTCTTGGAAGCAGTTTTGAGAGATTTACTTTCTTCTACTGAGGCCATCGCCGTGTACGCCCACCCACTGGTGTCCAGGTCAAAGTGGCGGCTGCTGCAGTACCAGACGAGGTCGGACAGTTCCTTGGCGAGGTTCTTTTCTTCTTCAAGTTTAGCTAGGTTGGTCCCCTCTTTCACCTCAGGCAGCCGCTTGCCCTTGATGATAATGCGCCCCTTGAGGGCTTCCGGTGAGGGCATCGCCGCCTCCTCGGGCCCGGTCAGCGGCCCGGTTATCAGGCGGTCTGCCAGCTCGTCGCGGAAGATGGCCGCCGCCAGGCGCATGCTGTCCAGCCGTTTGCAGTTGTTCTCCAGCGAGATGATAATCGGGTACGGCGACTTGGCGAAACCAAAGTGGCCGATGGTGTAGGCGATCTCCCGCAGGCTCATCTTTGACATTATAGTTCGCTTGTGGAAGACCACCGGCTCGTCCTCGGGCTCGTCGCCGTCGGTGACGTCCACTGAAGAGGAGGGAGTTTGTTAGAATGTTGTTGAAAAAAAAAGTTCGAACACTTACACTCCACACAGCGGCAGCCATCCTGCAGGTAGATGCGATACGTTTCAGTGGTGCTGCGACCTTCCAGCTGATCGACGGGAATGTAACTAAAGATAAGTGAAAAAATGGAAGTTTAGAACCACGGGAGTGTTCTGAAATGCAAAAGATGCCACCACTCTTACGTGTTATGCGAGCTGGCAATGTAGTACTCGGTCAGCGGGCGACTCATGTCCTGGTGAACCGTCTTCGTTTCCGCTCGAGTAACCTCAAACTCCTCCGAGATGAGCATGTTCCGGAAGCCCTTCCAGCTGACAAAGTGGCCGTTTTTGGCCACCGCCTCTTTGTGCGCCTCCAGCGGCTCAAAACGCTCCAGAAGACTGTTCAGCAGGGGGTCCACCTTTTCCGGGTTCACCTTCTGAGTTTGAAGGAGGAAGAGACGGAAAGCCTCTCGGGTCATCAGCTCCTCGCCCTTGCTGATGCAGAAAAATTCCTCCTGAAGGGACTTAGTGTAGGAGATGAGGTGGTAGAACTCGACGAACTCCTCAATGTCCAGGCCGTCCTCGCCGGAGTGGGCGTCGGTGGAAGTTTTGCGGAAGTTTGCTTTCTATTAAAAAAGGGACATTTTAAACAAAGAGGAGTTCAAAACTCATTTTCTTGAACTTACATTAAAAATCTGCACCACCTCCTTCTGGTCGTAGGCGATGTTGAGCGTCTTCAGCAGCTCCAGCGCCTCCTTGAAGCTGATAATGCCACTGCCGTCCTTGTCCGCCTTGCCGAACTGCTCCAGGAGGAAGAGGTCAAAGTCGCTCTTGATCTTGCCGTACTCCTGGGCGGTCTCCACCAGCTGTCGAAGTTTCATGTACCACCGTCGACGGACGGTGCTGCTCGGCGCGACGAGGTCGATCGTCTTGATGGAACTCTTGAAGAGAATGGAGAGGCAGCAGTCCTCGTCCAGCGGCGGCAGGTCCTCCTCTTCTCGCTTTCGAGACAGCTCAAAGAAGTTGGCCGTCTCCGCGCCGAGGATGATGTCGGAGACGTCGGCGATTTTGGCTGTAGAAAAAAATGATTGATTAGGTTTTTTATAAAATTGTTATTTTGGTTATTGCTGGTCTACAGCTTACCCATCACCTTTTTCCGAGGTTTGAAAATGGCTAGCACNGGAGACGTCGGCGATTTTGGCTGTAGAAAAAAATGATTGATTAGGTTTTTAAAAATTGTTATTGATTTGGTTGGCTGGTCTACACTTACCCATCACCTTCTTTCGGGGCTTAAAGATGGCTAGCATGGCGAGAAAGGAGTCCAGATCGACGATCTGCCCCTCCTGGTAGTCAAATTGAATCTGATTGTGCTTCATCTTCAGACTGCTCGTCAGGCGGTGGCCGCCCTTGATCTGCAGGTCTCGCCGTTGTTCATCGAGTCTCTTCTTCGCTGGGGCCAGCTTTTGCAGCTTTGAGGTGAAGCGCCGATTTCGATAGGGACTTGCTGATGGAG